CGCAGTCTGGCCTGCGCTGAACCGGATCCCTTCTCATCTCAGCCATTTATAGGACGCGTTCGAAAGTGCCCATGTCATAATTCCAGTGCCATGAGAGCGATCCAGAGTGGCGACAGTGAGTATGCGGCCGCAATATGGCCCTCACGACCGAGCAAGCGCCGATTGAGAATAGGAAGAGGGGCCTAAACGCGTGGGATCCCAGTGGTTCGCACCAAGGCTAGGCCGCCAGCACATGATTGAGCGCCACATCGAGAATAGGTTTGACTGAGAACAACAGGATGAATGGAGAGGATGCGCTCAGCGAGCTGTGGACGGATGGGGCACGCAGCAGAAAACAATCGCGCGACTAATGGCGCTGGAGCATTCCGCGAGAGCCCAAAAGGTTTCGCGGAGGGGCCTTGGTCAAGCTAGAATCGGACCTACGCCGAGCTGTGAGAGCGAGAAACGTTGATTTCAAGTTGATTCCGTGTCAAGGATCCCGCATATTCTTTGCCCACGTGATCAATCAACTATTTGTCCATCATGCTTCCGATTCACAGAACCAGTGTTGCCTGTGCTTTTTGCAGCTCTGGGAAGCTCAGCCACAGGTTAAAATTAGAGAGAGTCTGAAGCCTGACATTGACTTATGCAACTGACTGCTCTACTGATCACACGCCACACCTCATGGACCTCACATTCGTCCGGAATCGGCTCAATAACGGAATCCATGCCCCCCACCATGACCGTGTTGCCCGAAACGGATGTTATCATGACGCTGATATCCCCAAGTTTCGGAGGGAGTGCTGGGAGGAGGCGGGCTAGTCTTTCGGGCGGTCGAGGGCGCGACACTGAAATCCTGCTGATTGAGGCATTTCCAGTCGACACGGACACCGCCGGACAATTCGATCCGCCCACGGCCGAGCTCATCTCCTCCCTCGGCCAGACCGGGTCCGTGGGCATCCGGCGCATGGGGATCGTCGAAGACAACGACATCGAACGACGCGCCGCGCTTGAATACCCGATCCGGCGAGTTCTCCTCCGTGGGGGGCAGGAACGACATTTCCGGCCGCATGAGCTCAATTCGGACTCCACGCGCCAGTTGCTCGGTGCTCAACGGTGGCTGGACCTCGAGTTTGACGCGGTCGGCGGAGATCTGTGTGTTCTGAGCGTGAAGCAACATATGCTCGATGTGGATCTCCTCCGGACTGCCAAACGCATAGAACGGAGTAGACCGCTGATTGTACGACTCGTCCCGCCAACGGGACTCGAGAGAGCGAATCTTGACGACTTTGAGGTCGCTCAATGTTACGGTCTCAGATTCACTATACAGAACCGGGGTCAGCGAAGATCGGGGAGTGGGCGGCCAGTACCTCGAGACTCACCATTGATCAAACACGACCGATCAAACACGACCTGTATCTCTTTGGAAGCCACGATCTCATCGAGTGTCGTTTCGTGCAAAGTTCTGCAAGTGAAGAGCCCGTTCAGAGAAGCATCGGGAATGGTAACTTGCACGCTTTTGATCGCTCTTTCAGATAGTTCCGCATGCATTACAAGCTGCATGCGACCGTTCGCATTATGGAACAGAGGCTCGTTTGTCAGATAGATGTCGCCCCGCCCAAACATGATGAACCGATGAATCTGGGGTTTGACGGTCGCCCGATCGATCGCAGCTCTGGCCTCTTCCTCGAAAATATGGCGGGCGAGTTCCATGCTGTCGACAGTCGGGCCATGTACTGGGAAGGTGGTTGCGCTGCTCAAAACCAGGAGATCTTGAGTGGACATTGTTTCCAGTCCCAGGCGCCTCCGTGATCAGTCAATAGGAGAGCCGCGTTCAAGACAGGTCGAGACGCACTTCCGATACTCGCGTACACAAGAATCATACTCGGCCCCCATGACACTCGAGTTGACACTGAAAGGGATTTGTTGGGCCACCGTCAGGAGATCGCGAACGCGGTGGTTGAAATAGTTGGCGTCCTCGATATCCGTGTTCGGCTTGCCATGAAGCATGAAGTTGGAGGCAAAGACGATGATGTTCAGATCTGGAGCCACATGGTCCGCGGTCATAGCATCAGGATCAGCGTAGAACTGTCCATGGGCCCGCCCACTCATCCGACTGTGAACGAACTGTTTCTCGGTCGCATGCTGAGCCGAGTCGCCATCGTTAACCTGCGGAATGAGTGGGACTACCACATAGTCTTTGCTGGTTTCAGAGATCATTGACCAGTGCCTCGACATCTAGAGAACCGTCAGACACGAACAACACACTGAAAAGATGCCCACTTGTTTGACTGTCAACGAGAGGTCCCTAAGAAAAGAGGGAGCTGCGCCTTGACCGACGACTTTGTGGTGGACATATACTGCCGCCGCTGAGATCGGTGATAGATCGCTGGAGACGAAGTCAGCACTGTCGCAGTCTGGCGTAACGAAACTTGCGGTTCTGTATCGCCGTCGTAGACACCAGTAGGATCGATCGTCATCTTGGTGACACGCGAGTTTCGATAGCAAGCAGCCCCGGCGGGGGAAGGCGCAGCACCATCGCTGTATAGATCGAGTATCACCGAGTCTGCCCGTTTGAGAGCCTGCAACTGTCGAGTGGTATGCTGGCTCAGCGAAGATGTGTTGGAGCTGGAGATTGCATCAAGGAAGCAACCAGCCCGGCATGCATCTCGTGTTGTAATCAGGGACAACAAGCAATGCATGATCACAGCACACACACGCACCTACAGAGACTTGGAAACTCAACCCCATCTGCTCGTACTTGTCCCGGAGCGCGAGCACTTGATCGAGCGGGTCAACGGCACCTTCCCTCGTGCCCACAGTCACAGCGACAGCGCAGACAGCCTGTTTCTTGTCTAATCGGTCTTGGAGAAGCGCATCGAGTTTGGGGATGTCGAGTCGTGCAGCGTTATCGACTTGAACAGTGTCGTAGCCGGGACCGTAATGCACTAAAAGCGAGGGGTCTGTTGGGACGTGATTGATATTGCGAAGAAGAGAAACCCACCCTGCGACTTGCCCCACCGGAACTGTTGGGAGGAAGAGACGATGAACCCGGGAGGCAGGTCCGAATCAATATTATATCTTTCCGAGATCCTCGTCTGCTCCATCAAATACGGGCGAATCGCGTCTTGCAGGAGCTTGGCACTGATTCCGGACTCCACTTGCAGACTATCCACCATACGGGCAATCTCGTCTGAAGGCGTGTTAAGTAGCTCCCAGACACTGCATTGCTTCAGAAGCTTGGTTTCAGCACCCGCTGGCGTGACCTTGGCCATGTCGCCGAGGAATTCCAGCTGTCCATCGTCGATGGCGCTGCGCAGGGCCAGCGGGATAAACTTGAGCCTGCGAGCGACTTCGAGGCTCTGTTGTGAAGTGGTCATTCCATGCGCGCACATTCTCGTCGTCAGACCAACTCACTTCCTTCAGAGCTGAGTCTGGTCGCATCGATTCAAAATGAGTAGGATTGTGCAACAGGCGAGTGACACACCGTTGTTAAGAGTCAAATGAGCCCATGGGTGGATGGCGTCTGCTGAAAACCCAATCTTTTGGCAGAGCATTTCGCCAACTTCAAGCTCGATTAAGCTTGTCACGGGAGAAGCCTCGGAGGCGACCTTGGAGGACAGCATCAGTCGAGGCCTGTAAAATGACCATGGATGTCACATTGTTCGAGTTGTAGAGCGCCGTCATTATGAATCCAACCAGGGCTGGAAGGGTGCTATCGATATGTTAGGATAATGACGATAGAAGGCCCCTGCATGGAAACACATACGTTTCCACGTTCCTACCTCGATGACGGGAAAAGAAAGGAATTTCTGGAGAGTTGAGATCCTCAATGGCTTTCACGATACGTTGTAGGTCCTCGTCATTGTTTCCGTGACCGTTCCGATCAGAGGGGTAACTGGGATCCCCCTGTCAACTCATTCAGCCCTGCATCCAATTATCGGACTTGGTGCGCTCCGTTTGATACCTGGTGAACCCCCGAGCTTGCGCGCTCCGCTAATTCCATGATGGCCTTGATTCGTTCAACATCCCCTGATCCTCGGTGTGCGTTGTTGGCCAAGCCAAACGGCAGCGCATCAGTCAACACACCTCCCTTACTGACGTCGAATAAGACAGCGACTCGAAGAAGGAAATGCCCACGTACATGGACCACGTATCTTGTCGCGCAGGTGGCGACCACGGCATTTGAGGCTGGAAGCGGTGGTATGACATAATCGCACTAGACTGCTTGCTGAACCAGCAATCCTAATCGCCCACAGCTTATATACTGACGCTCCCTTGCCCGTTCATAGTCACGAAGGGGATGTCCATGGGGCAAGCTATGTATGCGCAGCAGCGGAAGCGAAGACACGACCGTGATATCACCCGAGAGAATGCGGGGACCCAGGACGGCGCCACAAGTGAATGGAGGGATAGAGCGGAGAATTAGCATTGAGGTGCAAATGAAGACCCCGATGAAGTGACTGGACCGGGCGAAAGGCGCACTAGCCATTAGTTCCATCAGCAAACTTGGGCAAGGTTCGAGCACGGTCCTACGAAGGCATTGATAGAGTGGGGAGCGATATCGGACCTTGGCCATTCGTGTATGATTGTCTCATCGGTCGAACAGTTTGGGGAAGTCAGAGTAACTCAGTTCAAATTTGATCAGACAGTAGACAGTCGCTGTCGGATGAGGAACGCGCATGTTTGGCTGTTCGGTAAAACCATCATAGACCAAGTTCCCACGCTTCGGTTGGCCTCGATTTCATTTGGGGCGTGTTTTGAGCCTTTCGTGATCCAGTCCGGTTCCAACTTGTCCCTGCTTCGCTCTCGGTAGTTGGAAGCGTGTAAGAGAGCAGCGAGCAGTGCCATTCACAGATGAGACTAGTTATTGCGGTCATGATTGTACTATTGAAGTCATGCCTAGTCAACATACATATTGACTCGAATGTGGATGCCAGAAGTTTAAGTCCAGCCCAAAGCATCAGCTATCAAGCCGCATGAGCTGTGAATCCATGCAAGCAGATTCTATTCTGCTTGTACTTTCTGATTTCCAGTCCGAGACGCCGCAAATAATCTTTACAGAGCTTTCGTCCTTGTACTACAAGTACACATGACATCTAATATGCAAATCTGAAATCGAGCCGCTGGTTCCCAACATCCTTGGTCGTTTCAACATATTCCTGCTGCTCCTAGTAATGGCGGCATGAGCGATCGCGGACCAATGCATTGCATCAGATCTCTATCAGGACTGACCTTTTTGGACCACGAATCCCACTTCCTGTCCCGAGCGCGGTTGATTGTGCGGTAGAAGAAGAAGGTGAGGATGTACAGCACGATGTTCATGCAGCAGATCCCGATCAACGTGCGGTTTCCCCGTTTATCTGAGGACGGTCTTAGTCGTGCATGGACAGAAACCGGTGCAAGGACGGCTTACACAGCGGAGCATCGTCTTTCCTGTAGATGTTGGCCTGCTCATGGGATCAGCAGTGGTCGTGCGGAGGCTGCCGCTCAGCTGACATAGATGATAGCGCCTGCTTGCACGAATATGTTGTAGCAGCTGGCCGACACGGTCCTCGTCCGGACAGAGAACGAGTTTCTCGACGTCCACGCGACTTGTATGGGGTGGACGTACTAGATGTAGCATTGAGACCCAAGCTCAATCCGTGAGGCCGTGGTTACTCACCGGGAAACCCGTGATGAGCGTTACGACGGTGAAATAGGACCACTGTGATGTGAACGAGTTGAATGAGTACAGCGCAATCAGCAGGGGTAGCGCCCAAATCTGGAGGATCATCGTGGCCAGCACTCGGCTGTTGATCGCCTCGCTGAGAAACGCAGCGACCAGCAGCATGATAAGCCCAATCACGGTCGAGGGGATGGTCAAAAGATTAGCCTGCGTCGTCGTGAAGCCGAGATGCTTCAGGGACAGGGTGAGGTAGACTTGGGGCGGGCCAGTAGGGACTGTTCGGGGTCTGCTTAGTGCCAGTAGCGTCACAAGGAAGCCACTTGCTCATGTGGACGAGGCCAAGGATGTACAAGGGCCACAGCCTCCAATCTTTCATGCCCTCCCAGATCTTTCTCGGGGACAGACCCTGGCGGTTGTGCATGTCGGATTTAGACGGGTCGTCGCGCAAAATCCTGTTGACCATAATAATCTCCTCACTATGTCACGACCCATCAGAAAGAAACATGCTATTCAAAGTGACCTCACCGGTCGGAAAACCAGCCTTTTGGCCGAAACCACTTGTTCTTTGTCTGAGTAGGTCCCGGCTGAATGATGCGTCAGTAAAACAATATAAGATATCGTTCGATCGACTCACAGGCATCAGCAAGAACGAGAGCAGCCCGATGGACAGGGTAAAACACCCCTCTGAATAGGCAGTCAGAAAATCAAGCCCAAACGAGAAGGCGATGAATACGAAATACCTAGCAAGAAGAGATATCGCCAGCCTGATTGCCCGTTCACACCTCGGAGCTTGAGAATACCCGTTGCCAGAAAAGCACTGAAGATGTGCGACACGTAGTTGGACACCCAAAAAAATGCCAGGCGGATGGGCACTGGATCCACGTCAGGTGGAATCCATCGAGATCATCAAAGCACGCACGCTCAGTCCGCGTGTAGAAATAAGACAAGTACAGCACAATGTCGGGAATGAAACCTGCGTCAGATGCGTCAGCACAAGAAGTCAACGATCGAAGACTCCACACCTCCTTCGCAGAATCCCAGAAGGAATCTCGTGACGAGGAACGAAGTCCTGCCCTTTAGCCAGTACTGACTCAGAGCGACCACGCTCCAGGCGATCATCTGGACGAATGTCAGTCGAGAAGCAGAGATGTGATGACACTGTGGAGATACGTACCTGGCAGGGAACCCAGACATCTGGTCCCACGCGCTTGGATATCAGTTGCGACGGCAGTTCTGTCAACGCAGTTACACACAACGTCCATTTCCCGTTGCTGAGCGCAGCACCCACCTGCAATCAGGAACGAGAGCCGGAAAAGCGTGTTGCCGAGGTTGAAGTCATTCGTGGTCAGCTTCAGGTCCCCGAGGAAGTTGTCAGTGTTGGCTTGCGAGATGTTGGTGCGGTCGAGGTCGAGGGCGAAGAACATGATAGCTGTGTCGCATTCAGTCCAAACCAAATCGAACCAAGGCGCCAGCAGCGAGGAGACTTGCCGGCCCACAACATGATGCGGATATCTATCTTGCGCACGACGCGCTGCGGGCAGTTTCAGACGGACAAGCAGTGATGGCGCGCGTCGAAAAGTCCGCGCACCTTCTCTTCTCTCCACGTCCACCGGGCCTTGGGATCAAAACGGTGGGCGTTCTCGTACTGCGGGGGTGGCCGATACACTTCGAGCGTGACGGAGTCATCGAAGACACTTGGCTGAGTCGCGATACTGTCCAGGTCCAGCACCTGTCGGGGCGGCCCTCGCCACCGTGAGAACAAGCCACCGGGTTGCGATACGGGCGTTCCGAGTGGCGGATTCTCAGAGCTCGTGCTCGAACGCGTGCTTCGCTTTTCATCAACAGATTCGTGGATCGACAAGCGACTGGCAGGGAAGAAGCTAGTCATGGCGAAAGCTAATCGTGTGTGCGAATCGTTTCGGCAGCAACATATTTTCGCACTACTTAAAGAGAATGGCGCATGAGCAAGGATGTCGGACGGAGAGCGCAAACGAAGCACGGCATTGCGCCATCGGAGTACAGAATAACAAGTTGATTTCTTCATATCTAGCCGATGACAGCGTGAGGTAATCATCACTCATCACCTCCGACCACGTGACCGCAGCGCCCGCTGTGCTGCACCAGGAGGGGCTTTCGGACCAGCGTTTTGCTGCGAGAAATGTCAGGCAGGAGAAGATATCGAGAAATGAAGGACTGACCGCCTCGCTCTGCGGATTTCTAACCGTCTCGTCGATGCTAAGGATCAGACAAGCGGCCTCGGCTGCACTGCTGATCGCGTTCAACTTGACCAGTGCCGGCTCCCAGACGAAAGCGTCCATGTTGTCGCGCACTCCAGTCTCGCCGTCAACATCTACACCAGCCCAGATCTCCCTCTGCTCGTTGCGGGGATCGTGCTTCATGCGCAGCTTGTTCAGGATATCCGTCGAATCGAGGCCGGCATTATCACAGATTTGCCGGGGAATGATCTCGAGCGCCTTGGCGAAGGCGGTCATCACGAGCTGCTGCTTTCCAGGAACCGCCAAAGCCTCTTTGCGGATGAACGCAGAGAGTTCCATCTGCAAAAGGTCAGCGTAAGGATCGTGGGAGTTACAGGAAGCGCACCTCGATAGCACCGCCGCCAGCGACAACCTCCCCAGTCTTGACCGCCCGCTTCACGACCATGATCGCATCATGCAGACTGCGTTCGACTTCCTCGATGAACTGTTCGGCACCGCCACGCAACACGAGCGTGCACGTTTTCGCTTTCGGGCAGTCTTCGAACAGGTTGTATCGTTCTCCGCCGATCTGCTTCTCCTCGAACGAACCACACGTTCCAAGATGCTCTGGCTTGATGTCTGAGCACGTAGACTGGATCGCACCGCCGGTGGCCTGCACGACACGACGCAAGTCCCCTGCGACGACACGGCCCGCACAGAAGATGTCTCGGTCAGCAAACCACTGCGTTGCGAGATCGCCGATCGGCAGTTTGCTGAGCACGACCTTGGCGCCCGTCTTTTCGATGAGCTGGAGTTTGCGATAGATGATCTCCCATTCGGCGTCGACGATCGCTTGGTAGTCGGCAACCGCCTCAACACGGACTTCGGCGTTGTCTTTCTCGGCCTTGAGTTCGAGCTCGACATTCAAGCAGACGATCAGGGGATTGCGGAAGGATTTAGGCTGCTGCTCGGCACCGGCGTATGTGAAGGTCTTTTTGAATGCGACGCCCTTGATCAGAAGCGAATCCTGCATGCCTCCTCCGGCAACCTTCTTGACACCGATGAGCGATTCGTCAAGTTCGTCTTGATCCAGGCATTGCACAGCGTCAACGACCATGTTCGAGAAAAAGGCTTTTCCGAGTGGATAAGTTTGGAAGACATGGAAGTCGAGGCACATTTCAAGAGCAGGGATCGGAAGGTTCTAGACGAAATCAGACGGGCATACAAGACCTGAGGATGCAACATACTCAGGGTCAGACTTGTCGACAGAGATTTTCAATTCCTTTATCCGATCAATTGCCTGTGGATTGAAGCTGAAGTCAGCCGGTCGATGAACAAAAAGGGTGACGCGTACCATCTGCGATGCCTTTCCGAATCCCTTCATGATGATATGCGGACTGACGCCCTCCTCGATATACGTCCGGACTTCTTTCAAGAGTTGCGTAGCAAGCAAGACCACACTCGTCGTGCCGTCCCCAACTTCCGCGTCCTGGGCCCGAGCGATGTCGACTAGCGTCCGCGCGGCAGGGTGGACAATATCCAGCAGCTTGAGAATCGTCGCGCCATCGTTGGTGATCTGCGCCTCCCCACGATCATTCACAATCAGCTTGTCCATCCCACGGGGTCCGAGCGTGCTAGACAGCGTCTCTGAGATCGCGAGACATGCGGCGATGTTGGACAGTAGTTGCGGGTTTCCCTGCGACGTATCTGTGCCCTCCTTGAGTAGAATAACAGTCGGTTGCTAGAACCAGCCGTGTCAGTAGAAACATCGGGGTGTAAAGGTTTAATCCACCATGGGAAGAGGCCGCTGCATTTTTGGAGGTCGAGATCAAGAGAGATGATTTGAAAATGTTTGTGGTGTGTGACGGCGCGTAAGGCGTGACACACCGCGACGCGTTTGATTCCAGAACACGATGTCGGACGACGAGATGGTCACAGAACCTGCGCGTCCACCCCTCTTCTTTGCCAGCTCGGATGAAGAAGAGGACGCGGAAGATATGGCTGCTGAATCTGAGGCCCGGGTGGCTCCAGAGACGTCAAGCCCATCGTCTCGCGCCTCTTCCCCTCCCATAGTCATCGTAGACAGCGATGAAGAGACGAAAGTGGACTCCCACATCCCGCAGAAACGCGCTGCGCACACAGAGGAGATAGTTGACGACCACAAGAGCCCGCTGAAAGCGCAACCGAACCGAGAGGCACCTTCAGCCGACCCTGTACGCTCATCCGTGCCGCCTGCGGCGAAGAAACGACGCGTATCCCCGGAGGCACCGCCATCACCGGACTCGTCCCCCACTTACATCGGTGAAATGGTGTTCGGGCACGCATGGAGCAACGTCTCCGGCACGGGGTACATCAAAGTGAACGACGCGGTGCAAATCTTGCGAGGGTCCCCACACGGCCAAAAGAAAACGGAGGACAAGAAAGCGCTGGGCACTGCAAAGACTAAAAAGTCTGGGGACGGCAAGAAGCAGATGTCTCTCACTGCAATGTTGAAGCAGCCGGCCAAGTCATCCTCGAAGAAAAAGCCTGATACCATTGTGCGGCTGTACAACTCTCGGGGGTTCGGTAAGCAGACTCTATAAACACTATAATGATCTGAACAATTTAGAGTTTGGCAGACTACCTCAGGACGTCTCTTCTTGGATCGCGAAACTGCTTGATTTCGGTTCGAATCCGCCTCCGCCGTTTGTACAGAGCGCTAATGCGCCGTGACATCAGGTATCGTCGAATTCCGGGGCAAGATGACGGATTGTCCGAACAAACTTACCGTTGGGGTCAATCTTATCGTCTCGGCGGACGTCTACATGTTGCCCACTGCATTCAAGCCTTTCGGTCAAGAAACCGCCCAAGAAACCGCTACAGACAAGACTTTCCTGATGTCCGAAGGAGCGGAGACTTTGGACGAACAGGCTTTGCGTGAAAGGAAGGCATCTGTACTCAAACTGTTCGAGGTCCTCAATCTGCGACCTCAAGCAGGAGCGAATCTCTCCGGAAGCAAATCGGACGAGGAAATCCATGACGAGGCAATGAAGAACATAGCGAAACACAAAACCAAAAAGGTCACTGAAATCGTCGGCGACGGCGAGGAGATCGAAGTGGACGAGGGCGAAGAGTTAACGGAGAATGACATCGACCTGATCTACCAGAAAGCGCAAAGGGGAGACAAGACTATGGGGGAAATGGAGCCCCCAGATACCTTCACGCTCACTTTGCGAGGTTATCAGAAACAAGCTCTATTGTTCGTCTCCGCGCCGTTTGTTACTCTGTCGCTCATCATTTGTAGATGGATGCATTCCATTGAGCTCGGGAAAATGGACGCGCGGGAGGCGAGTTCGATGCATCCTCTGTGGAGCCAGTTCGTGAATTGTCATTGGCTTGATTGTAAAACCTGATTCTCTTCATTCAGATACATATTCCCGTCACCTCAGACCGGAGGTTTCATCGACCTGACTGCGGAGGACAAAGTCTTTTACTTCAACGCGTATTCCGGTGAGCTGAGCCTGGAGTTCCCCAGAGCGGAACGTAAAGGCCGAGGGGGTATTCTTGCTGACGGTGAGCTCAAACGTGATGATATGCGCAAGATCGTCAACTGTCACAGAGATGGGTATGGGCAAGACCATCGAACTGGCCGCCCTCATTCACACTAACTGCGAACCGGATACCGAGCGCCCGGCAGACGAAGCAAGCTCCGGCAACAAGCATCGACAACTGAAACTGAATGCTGCTTTCAAGAAAGCGCCACGCCGCACATCCAAGAAACCACCTTCAGCCACATTGATTGTCGCGCCCACATCTCTGCTGGCTCAATGGGAGGCCGAGCTTCTGCGCTGCAGCAAGCCTGGCACTGTCAAAGTCATCCTGTGGCATGGGCAGAACCGGCTCGATCTGCAAGATGCGCTGGACGATGACGAAGGCGGCGAGGAGGGCAGCTCGCCCATCAGGGTTGTCATTACATCATACGGGGTGCTTGCTTCTGAGCACGCAAAAGCGAGATCGCCCGTATTCGACGGTGAGAACAGGTCACCCTTGCTTGACCGTGCTCTGATTCCTTCTAGTCGAATGGCTCCGTATCGTTCTAGACGAAGCGCATTCGTGCAAATCAAGGACGAGCAAGACGGCCAAAGCTGTGTATGCTCTTCATGCGAGAAGGCGATGGGCTGTGACCGGGACCCCGATCGTGAACAAGCTGGAGGATCTCTTTTCGTTGCTGTGCGTGATGGATTGAAAGGCGATTTCTCCGGCTCATTGACGATTAGCAAATTCCTCGACTTTCGGCCCTGGGCTGACTTTTCCTTCTTTCGATCGCAAGTCCCGGTGCTTTGGCTGAACAGTCCCCCCGGCTCACCTGTCTCGCTAGGTTCATTACGATGCCGTTCCTGGCGCGAGACCCGAAAGCAATCGAGATTGTGCAGATCATTCTCGAGTCCATCCTCCTCCGGCGGGAGAAGACGATGCTTGATACCAATGGGAAGCGTATCGTGGAGCTCCCTCCCAAGGAGGCAAGTGCTCCTATCCAGAAATCTTTCATGCTGACGCCTTAACAGGTTGAGATCGATTATCTCGAGTTCTCATCGCTGGAGCGGAGGATATATAACAGCCTTTTCATTTCTGCAAAACGCGACTTCGAAGACCTGCACGCCAAAGGCTTGGTTGGCAAAAACTACACCCACATCTTGGCGATGCTGATGAGGCTCCGCCGAGCTGTGCTTCATCCCAACTTGGTGCTTTCAAGCAACAGCAAGTCTGGTGGCGGCGAGGACGAAGAGAACGACATTGACGTGAACGAACTGATCAAGCGCTTTGCCAATGATGCGAGCGAGAGCAACGTGTTTGCGAAGAACGCTTTGGAGAATCTGGACGTGGATGAGCAGGACGCCGAGTGTCCGGTGTGTCTGGATGTGATGGAATCCCCGATGATCTTGCCGGAATGCATGCACCGATGGTGGGCGTCTCTTGCAGGATTGCGACTAGGCGGCTGAATTGGGCAGCTGCAAGGATTGCATAGTGACGTTGTGCGCGACAGCTGCAGAACAAGGGAAGGAGCTTTGCTGTCCGACTTGTTCGCGAGGGCCGATCCAGGTATGCTCTGCCAGCTCGATCGCGAAGGTGGAAGCGCGTTGACGACTAGTGCACTCTAGGAATCTGAACTGATCGAGGTCTTTCGCCCGCCCAGCAGCTCTCAAGATCCACAGCCTAGTGTCGTTCTGAGGAAGAATGACTTCCGGTCATCAACGAAGCTGGACGCACTGGCACTGAATCTCCGTTCGTGAATAACGAACTGTTTCTACGCGTCATCTGAGCATGCTATGCAGGAAAGCTGAGGGACCAAGACCCGTGCTTCCGCGCTGTCGTGTTTTCCCAATTCACGTCCTACCTGGATTTGATACAGACCGTCCTGAAACGCGAACAGTTTGAGCACTATCGCTTCGATGGATCCATGGATGTCAAGGCCCGGGGTGCGGCTCTCGAGCAGTTCAGAGCGCCGACGAGGAAACCGAAGGTGCTAGTCGTCAGTTTGAAAGCCGGCGGTGTCGGACTGAACGTGCGAGCTCCCGATTGTGACATGCTGCTACTCCTCACGCGATGTACAGCTCACTTGCGCCAACCACGTGTTTATGATGGATTGTTGGTGGAATGCGGCGACGGAAAACCAGGCGATCGACCGCGTCCATCGCATCGGGCAGGAGAAAACGGTCTATGTCAAGCATTTCATTGTACGAGCTTACCCGTCATTCTCTGCACACTGTGTTGCTGACATCACGGTAGATCTCGAACACGATCGAAGGCCGGATTCTGCAGATACAAAAGCGCAAGACCGCGATCGTCAAGGAAGCTTTCAGGGGTAGCGGTTCTGGTTCATCGCGTTCGGATCCGGAGAGCATCGAGAATCTCAAGATCATGTTTGGGGAGGGGGGAGACGATCTATGAGTTCGAAGGAGACTTCTATATCATATCCTGTATGCTAATTTCTAATTGCACCATGGACTTTCTTCGGCCAGATCTTATCGATCTTATCAGTTGGCAGGCCTCATCCCGACGGACTCGGATGAGTATATGTATAGAGAGATCGATTGAGGGATTGATTAAGATAACTCCAACCACGCGCGCGTGCATCCACCCATCATGCAGACAGGTGAATCTGGTGATGCGGGAGAGCCGGAGGTCTGCAGATGGATGAACGTGGAGACGAGAGCCGCGGTATTATATTATACAATGGGGACTATTAAATGTTGGAATAAGAGTTGGTAGGTAGGAAAGTAGCTATATGCGCAATTCGAAGACCTCGGCAATAGGAGCGCCAGGTAAGGGCCTGCCGGAAAGTCAGAAATTGAGATAGGACAGGGCGTCAGTAACGGCATTGGCCACGCACATTGTTCACCCAGACGGCGGTGCTGGACGTGAACGCTGCTGTCTTGCGTCCGGGAGCGATGGTGGCGGGGAGGCTCTGAGAGTCACCCGCTCGAGCGGTATCTGATCCAGACGGCGGTAAAACACACAGCAGCCCCCTGTACCGCAACCGGAGCGTCAGTCAGTCACCCGACTTGACAACGACATCCGCACCCTCGCACGCGCACCGAGGGCAGTGCACGCGATGTCTGGCTCGGGGGTCGCGCGCAAGGAGCAGTCCCCGCGGCGCGAGGTCCTCGAATGTTCGCAGCTGCAGCGCATCCGGGGCATCATCGTCCTCGAGCGGCTCCAGAGACTTGCGCGCGGTGGCAATCAGATTGATGCCAGGCGCGGCGCACAGCGATCTCACCGTCATTGTCCGGTAGCTCAGAGTTAGGTACAGGGAGGACAGAGTGCTGGACGGGCGAGTCGTCGCAAGGTGGGAGGGTATCTCTCTCGCCGGCCACGCTCAGTGTCTTTATCCCATAGCCTTGACGCACTGTCCGTCCGGAGCTAACTCCTTAATTGGGACCCACACGACACGCCATTCTCACTCCTTAGTCTCCACCCCATCCAGCAGGTGATCCGTTGATGTCCCCGGAGTTTTCACGGTCAGTCAGACTGACCTAGTCAAATGGGGATAGCTCCGCGATCAACAAACGTGGTTGACATGGAGAGATTATCTTGCAGGCGGCACATGGGTGGATATGAGCTGCGTGTCTGACGGCCCTAGATTATTTCAGCTCAAGGCTTAATTTGGGTCGAGACGGGAGGAAAGAGACTTGGCACTGTTGGCAGGCGGATCAAATATCAAACAAATATTCACAAGCATACATCTCGAACAAGGAGACTGCGGGAGTTGGATGCAAGGGCACTTATAGAAAATGAGTCGTTGAGATATAATCCCAAACCTCACGCATCGATGCATGGTTGGATGGCCGAGCGGTCTAAGGCGCTAGACTAAGGATTAACTCGCATCTGCGAGCACAACTTGCCATTGGCAATCTAGTCCGAAAGGGCGTGGGTTCGAATCCCACTCCAATCACGTTTTGATCTCCGATCATGTTTTCCTGTACTTGATGATCAGCCGCTCCATCTGCATTCCAACGCTTTCGAGGTCTAGACTCTAGACGCAGATAGAGCGGCGCAATGCATCAATGCTACTACGATACAGCTTGTGTGTATTACTCAATTCGCCGATTAAAAGCTACAGATACACAAATTCGGTGTCCCAGAAACAAAGATGCCTATATACAAAATACACAAACAAGGGCAAGCTTCATCCTATCCTAGCTCATCTTCGAGCTCGCGCGCCAGAAAGTCGTCTTCTTCTTCCTCCTCGTACTCCTCCTCGCTATCTCCCTCGTCAATGCGAGATACGGGACTGGCGACGGGTGGGACGACGGCAGCCTGCGGTGCGACGGGACCGATCTCTTCGGCGCTCACAGCTTCCTTGAGTTTTGACGCCCCCGTGCGCTCAGCCGCGATTTTTTTTCGTTTGGCTAGAGGCGATCCAGTCTCCCCTGCGTGGCCGTTCCGGATGTCAGAGGGCGTGAGACTTCTCATGCGTTTCCGACGACTGGGTGTCGGGGGATTGCTGTTCGTGGCCACGCTGAAACGATGAAATCAGGCGGGGCGTACGCACATGGCGAAATCACGCACCTGCTGCCGTCCTCGGTCCAGTCATCTTCCGACATCTGATCCCCAAATCCGTGGTCATCGTCGCTTTCGTCCATGGCAGCATCGATCTCGTCGTCGATATCATTCCAGTCGATGGCGTCGAGCGATAGCTCGGAAGCGACCTGCGAGCCGTTGTGCAGTGCGCTGTCCCACTCCTCTTCCCCCACATCTCCAGAGGACGAAGAGACTCGGAGGGGATCAGTGGCGACGGGGGGTGGATCGTCGAGTAAGTACGGGGTCTCGTCCTGCCTGTGCCACAGGTTGATGCAGTCCAAGAACCACTGGAGCCACACAATCTTGATGTTTCCCCGCTTCCTAGCTGAGTCGACTTTGACAGTCCCGCGCTATACTTCGTGTGAGAATTGTGTGAGGCGGTACGGATTCGAACAAGAGACCTTGGCTGCGACAACATGCGTGACACCAGGCTCAAGCGTCGTGGTGCATTCGGCGCCAAACATGACTGCAAGTTTCCAGATTTCGGCTGTCTCAGGATTTGTATCCAAGGGAATCACGCTGGAGAACAGAATGACGAGTCCATCAAACACCTCTCTTCTCATCCGTGGGATGATTCGCTATATTGAGATTCAATGGAACGGTCCTTCAGAGGCACTGACAAGCACCCACAGTAGTGTCATATTCTTGTCTGCCCCCGATCTTGCTCGGTGACTTGGGTGATGCTTCGTATGAGGCAAAGAAGCGCCCATGCACTTGATCCAACAACTGAGGCTGTGAGCAATAGTTCAACGGATGAAGAGGGCACGGACCTCACTCAGCCGTTCAAGCTCGTGATCGTCATTCTTGAGCAAAGCCTCCTTCAGCTGTGGAGCAGGTAGACTAGCAGGCTCTTCCTTGGACCCATTTTGTTCGTGCGACTCGTGAGACACCTTCAATTGCTCTTGTTTCTTCGCCAAAGGGCGCTCCTCCACCTGTGCTTCTAACGCCATGGTATTCTTGGCCAGCAGGTCTTTGTCAGCTTGCTCCTTTCTTGCCACTTCTTCGGGTGTGCTCGGTTCTGGAGGATCCGGATCCGGCAATGGAGCACTTGAAGTCGGAGGCGTAAGAGGCTCGATTTTCGGCAGGAAGCTCGAGTTGATGTCCCCAATCCCGACAAAAAAGTCGTCTATGCGCAGATGAGAAGTGACTTGGTGGAGAGGACAAGTAAACGTACATGGAACGACTTTGACGAGATTCGGACTCCACTGCCAGACGTCAGCACGGTCATCGATGATTACAACCATAGATTGGTCGCAAGGGAACAGTCTCGCAAGTGTCTTTTGTGTAACACTTCCACTTTCGTCCCGGCTCAATAGTCGCGAGCCAAAGATCTTGTTGTCCGGATCGATCAGCGCACAGACTTGCTCGGCATAAGCTCTGGTTCCCATAGTATAGACGTGCATTTGATATTTGGTGGCCATGGTCTCGAGGAAATGCTGCCAGCCAGGTCTGAGGGTGATGTGAGGCCGAATCCCAGCTTGTATCAACGGCTCGAAGCATACCTGCGCTTGAGGTAGTACACAGGACTTTCGTGTTCATACATCCTGTTCTTGCCCATAGATTCTGGCTTGAGCCTGAACTCGCCAACGTCCTCAAGGGCTTCCCAATTGGGGTTGCATTCGTCGGAAGGGTCGGGTTTCTCCGCCTGTCTCGCCTTCCATGCCGCACCTTCCGCACGCCATTCGCCTACAGTCGGGTCGACTGTAGCATGAACGATAGTTTGATCGAGATCGACAACGAGTACCAGTTTCCGCGCTTTCAACAGGTCGTCCATGATCTCGCGCTCGTGGCGTTGAGCTTCCTCCAGCGATACAACCGGTCCGTTGGCAGAGTGAGTCATCTCTATTCCGTTCTGCTGCTCCGTCCTGAATAGAGTCCGAGCGTCAGTAAACGAGATTTGTTTCGAACGATGCACTACTGCATGAACGCACCCTGTCATGTCTGCCCCACAGCTCGCACACAGCCCAAACGCCTGCACTTCGTGTTTGCAGTCCTCCATGACAAGCACTACCGGGCGCTCCTGGGCCTTTTCTTTCGTGATGACTTCACCTGCGCGCACCTTCCACGCGGACACACTTCCCACAACGGGCGAGTCCCAAGTGCCGAAACGCGTTTCCAGCTTGGCATTCGCTTGAGCGGGGGTGTGCACGAAGGAGTACGTGAAGAGGCGCGTCCCTTGTTGGACGGTAGCGTCCGCGGCAGAGTCTAGAGACACGACTTTGATTGGGTATGGAAATGCGGACGGTAGGAACAGTTTCGTGGCTGTCTTGGTTGAAGGGTTCGTTGGAGGCCCGGACATAGTAAGTGCATTCGTAAGTATGTCGCGTGATTGTGGGTATGAGCTAGAAAGAGCGTCGAGTGTCTCAGCCCGTAAGAGGTCTGAACAAGACGGTATTCCAGATTTGGCTCTGTTGCAGCGTGATCTGCCGGGGATGTCATCAAACCTCTCCTGCTTGCCTGTTTCTTGATGGCTTGCCATTCTTAGAGCTCTTGCCTTCACTATCGCTCTGAAGACGATCAGGCAGAACTGTGAGGGTGTATCGCCAGGCCTACGAAAACGCTCAGAGGAATTTCGGTTACAGTATTCGATCGATCGCGATATGACATCTTATTGAACGACGCGCTCGGCGGCTGTGGGTAGCGACAGCAGCCACTAGATATGCCGCGTCTAGGCCGGTGTCTACACAGTACCTCGACAGGAACATATGCCCTTTGAGAACCGGGTGCAAAGTCGGTCACTCTCTGTGCCGGCGTGCGCTTTATGTAGGTGTCTTACTCAAGCGAGTATCAATCGTTTGTCGTTCTGCACGGCCACATAAGTTTAAACCATTAGTACATCCAGCGGACTGTGCATGTGAACTCTGAAGGAAGCTCGTCCTCTAAGCGGCCAGACGACGTCACCTTCCAGTGACCACCACACGCGATCCGAATTCCGAAGCACGTGCTGCCGCGCCTCAGACCCTTCTTTCGCGAACACAACCATGTTGCACAAACTGCCCCCTGAACTAGTCATCTCAGTCCTCGCCTACCTCCCCCTTTCATCACTGCAGAACGTCCGACGCACAAGTAAACACCTCGAGAATCTCATCCGTATCAACGAGTCCATCATATATCGCAATGCAGCTGCTTGCGCAGGTTTCATCGCGTCAACGAATATTGCATACGCCGATCTCGGCAAACTCTTCTCCCGCAGTTCTCTCGGAGGTTCCACAGACTGGAAAAGCTTCTGTGCGTCGTCTGAAAGCGTTACGAGGGATATCGCAACTAAGACAATGCAGGCGCTACCCAACAGCGAATTCGAGCGTCGTGGGCGGGGGATGCACCCTCCCGCGTCAGATCCCATGCCAGCGCAGGGAAATACGTCCATCGAATCAAGGTTGACGATCTACGAGGGCTCATCATTGTTACCTCAAGTCGGGGTGGGTTGCGAGTCATTGATCTACATGATGACGAGATCCTGTGGTCATTGCCTACTGTGAGTTCTCCATAAATCTCGGGAGACGGTATGGACTGATCTATAGTCGTATGTTCACCGTTACGCTCACTGTGAATACGACGACGGCTTTCTGATATTCGATCGCGGGGGACTCGGAAGTGAGAAGGAGGTCTGGAGGTTGGAGGATAGCACTCCGAAGGATGGACCACAGCAATCTACCATGTCCCCTCCAGACCAGCGACAACTTGATGCGTGTGTGCGGACCGTCTCGGGTCTAACTGGGACGAACGGCGTCTTCCGTCCATGGTCGCTGCTGAAGCCGACGGAACTGACGCGTGCGTTTCGTTTCGTCTACCCCACCCTGGCCGCTGCTTCGGAATCGGCGATATATCTGTGGAACATCCCCACGGGAGAGTTGATCCAAACTATCCAGGACACTCAGACCTCGAATACCGCTGAAGGCTTTGGTTCAGAGTCATTGGGAGACGTCAATTACGTAGAAGTCAGCCCAAGCCACGTCCTTCTGTGTGGATCCTACGTGCTCAGGGTGTTCTCGCGCTCGACCGGGCGAGCTGTCTTGGACATCCTTTCCGAAAAGGTTTCTTACGGAGAGCATATGTTCATTCCGGACATACATGCAAGAGCTG